AACAACGGCCACTGATGGAATATAAAAATGGCTATTGTTCGAAGGTTATATACATTTTTATTTAAAAAATTCCGCTATTTAGAGGTGGCCGTTATATATATATAAAACACAATTAATAATCTTTTAATTAAAAATATATATAACCTGTGTAAACTGAAATCGCGTGGTACTAAATATTTTTTCCTGTTTAGACAGGTTTCTATTTTATTCAGGTTCTGTTTTGGACAGGTTTTACTGTAATAATTTCTTTTTATAAAAAAAAAATAAAACAATGTTTTTATATATATATATATATATTTCAATAAAAATATCGATATTTTACATTCAACGTATTGTTGGCATGGATGATGAACACTATTGTAAATACACTTTACTATATCAAATTTTATAGATTATTCGAAAGGAATGATCAAATACTATTAATATACTTTTATTTTAAAACATAACGGATGTTATTTACGTTACATTACACACAAACTAAAATAATATGGTATTATTCAGCTACGTATAAGAAACAAGGGATGTAAATTACATAACGTTACATTAAATTCGTCTTACGTTTAATAAATAATTCTTAACTAACGTCGTTTAATAATGAATATTAATTAAGATTTATATAACCCTTTTGTTTATTCATTACGATATCCAAATGAAATTTTAATAATAGAAAGATTATGATTGATATAACAGCTTACAAATTTTAACATAAATCGTGTACTTTTAATCTTATTATTTATTACAAAAATTAAAATTTTATAGGACAATTTTAATTGTCAAAATATTTATATAACTGTAGATATTTTATTTTGTAAATAATTATTATTAAAATAAATTGGTGATAATTATATGGACATGTTGTTTATTATATAATTTTAATAATTGGTAATAAGTAAGCAATTTTATAAAATTAAATGCATAAAAAAGATATTTTCTGTTAATTTTTTAAAAATTTTAATAAATGTTTAAATATTTATATATTTTAAAAAATATTTTATAAAGTAAACACTTATATCTTTCTTTTATTTTCACTTACA